TTATACGTAATTATTATTCTGTTAATATATGAACATTTAAAACTGTTAGTTAATCACAAAAGTGCTGTTATGTTTATACCTAACTACTATTTAACTATTTACTATTTGTTGTTAACATAAATTACTATCATTGTTGCAAACATAATTACTTGAATAATCTAACTGAAACTAATACTGAAATATAAGTTATTGCGCTTCTCATTTTGACGAATTAATTGACAAGAAACGTCCTCGGCCTGTAGCCTGTGGGCGAAAAGTTGATTCGGCAATCAAGTCATGTCGGAAGATTCACGGGATGTTATTTGTTTGAATGTTTTGAAGAATATTCAGTTGTGAGGAAGAGGCGAATGCTCTTGAGTGGGATGTTGGTGGCAGCAGACTACTCGTTGCTGATTCAGCGGGGAGATGCCAGTTCTGGGGAATGAAGGTAAATGCAAGACCAAGGTGACATCCAGAGTTTTGTGCAAACCCTTTGTCGATAACACTATCAAAATGAAGGTGTTAAGTACTTGAAACCAAAAAGTGTTTGCAGGGTGTTTTCACTCACTGGCCAGAATAAAACAGGACAGGATACCCTTACAGATGTGCTGATACAGTGATAGTCAGATGTTGTTCCTGTTTTTCCTGTTTCCGGATTTTGTTCAGTGTTTGTTTCCTGTAGCACATGTGATTTATGTGTCCTTACATGAATGTCTTTGTGTCATAGGATCATATAATTAATGATTGGCACATGATTGGCTCTGTCGACCTTCACAACGAACATGTGATAGCACTCGAGTGGCTGCACAAAGGATCAAAGGTAGCGTTGTCTTGGTTATTGTTATAATTAGAATATATAATATATATAATTAAAAGATTGTTAATTATAATTACTAATATATTAGAAGATTGTTTACCCACGTGTTTGAGAGTTATGACAGTCGTATGTCTAAATTTTCATAACATTGGCATGATGCTTTACTTAAATTTTTGACACTGTATGACATTTATGCTTTACAAAAGATGCCTTACAAAAGGACTGACAATGTAGCTTTCTTATTTCTCACAGGATGGCTTGGTTTAGGTTGATGTTGTAATGTGGCATTGAGGAATATTTATTCATTAGTGCACTGAAGTTTTGAGCTAATCACCTAATTTTCGGTCATGATGAATACATAACACGGTTGTGACAACATTTGGATGCTATAATATATTGTGATGATTATTTACAGCTTATTTTGTCACACTATAATATATTGTGATGATTATTTACAGCTTATTTTGTCACACTATAATATATTGTGATGATTATTTACAGCTGATTTTGTCACACGATAATATATTGTGATGATTATTTACAGCTGATTTTGTCACACGATAAGGACACGGTGAGGTATTCGGACAAGTTCCAGAGAGTCCCTGTTCATGACTTTCGCCCATCCGTCGTACATTTTGGGGGCCGCCCCATGGATGGCTGGATCGCAGTCACTGCTACTGGCTTGGTAAAAATAATGCCGATATCACAGTATTCACAGATAACGACTTTTCTGAATAAGATTAGTGAGTGAGAAGTGTTACTGTAGTGTGCAAACAGTAGGCCTAGTATCTGACCCAGAATCTTAAAAGTGACCAAGTAAAAGCTAGAATCAGCAGAGAGACAGGCATGGTAAATGAACGGATACACTGAGTCACTGAGTGTCTATTTGCAAATGTAATGTAATATGTATGAGAGCAAAAATTTTGTTGAATTTTGCAAGGTGTGTGTTACGCTCATATCTCCAAACAAAGAAGTCAAGACACTTTATGAAAGTTTGTCTGCTGTGAGATCGAAAATGATTCTTGCAGATGTCGCATACTGTAATAGTAAGTATATGATTAAGAATCTAACATGAACTATTAACACAAGTCCACTAAGTCCAACAATAGAGTCACTATCTGGGGCTATTTTTTAGAAACATTGTTAATAGTTAGGACTGTCATAAAATTTCATATCTTTTACATGACACTTCACCTGGATGTCATGACATTTTGGACAAATGATTACGTGATAATGTATGCTGTTTCTGATGATAGGCCCTTGACTTGAACCCTGTTGTCTTTGGGTTTGGTGAAGGAACAGGGAAACGTGACACCATCTCATGTTGGTCTAATTGTCAGCACTTGCTTGCAAAGCTGATTAACTGAAATGTGCAATCAGATGATTTTTGGTTTTGTTTTTTTATTATTTTTGTGTGTTATTTTGTGGTGATTTGTTTGTTGTTTGCAAACGCAGTGGTGCCATCTACTGGTTAATAAAGTATATACTAAGGCCAGGGCCAGTAGCTGCACAGTGTAGATGGTATCGGTTATCTTGTCAGATATATTCTCGTTACTTTGCATCACTTGCATATCATACTCTCTCACATCCTATTTGGCATAGATAGTTATAGGCTTGATGGGTCTTAGTACTCGAGTCAAATTCAAGATTTTCATTATGAGTCATGAATTTCAGACCTATTGCAGGCATGAGAGCATCGTGTCACTGTTTTGATGTTTGTTTTCCTGTGGCAGATGGAGATTTGATGGTGGTGACTAGTGATGGACTCATATCTTCAGCCGTACGTTGCTTCAAAGTCTCAATCAAGGCTCAACATGGGGGTAAGCATATACTTTAGGATACTCAGTGAATAGTTTAATATCATCGTGAGGTCATTGCCGTAGCTATGGGGTGAATGTAAGCCCTGTTATTTGCCGTTAAGGGCTGAGGGTTGCTTGCAGATGTAGTTGTTATATCTTTGTTTCAGCTTTTAACAGTAGTGCCAAATGTTATTCGATAATGAACCTGCTTGATTCATTATCAAGACAATAGATATATACTTATTATATAATTGATGTGAACGTTTATTTTACATTTTTTATGCGGATGAATTTGCCTCATGCAACAGAGTCAAGCAGGTCTGTGTCAAACCCTCGTTTGTATATTGTAGGTGCCGATTTCACTGTCACTTGTCAGCCAATGGCAAGCTTCTTTATGAAGACCTACACGACCAATCACCAGTCCTGTCAATGTAAGTAACCATGGTAACATAATGAAACGTGTTTACTTCAATATATTAAAAGAGTTAAAGCTTCTGTCTTGTACGTTACAAGTCAGAAGTCGTAGGGGCACTTGTGTCGGACGACGTGGTAGTGCGACTCAGAAGTCGTAGGGACACTTGTCTCGGACGACGTGGTAGCAGTACTCAGAAGTCGTAGGGGCACTTGTGTCGGATGACGTGGTATCGCGACTCAGAAGTCGTAGGGACACTTGTGTCGGACGACGTGGTAGCGCGACTCAGAAGTCGTAGGGGCACTTGTGTCGGACGAAACGTGGTAGCGATACTCAGAAGTCGTAGGGACACTTGTGTCGGACGACGTGTAACGCGACTCAGAAGTCGTAGGGGCACTTGTGTCGGACGACGTGGTAGCGCGACTCAGAAGTCGTAGGGGCACTTGTGTCGGACGACGTGGTAGCGCGACTCAGAAGTCGTAGGGACACTTGTGTCGGATGACGTGGTGGCGTGACTGGTCATCGTAGTCGAAGTAGTTGATCTGCAGCCGCTGCGCGAGCCTGCGGCCCAGCTTACGCAGCTTGCTGACGTTCATTGTTGCCGACGTGAGGGTCTGCTGCTCGCAGTTGAAGCCATCGAAGACGATGTTGAGGAAGAGTTCGCCGTTGGCGCTCTTCTGTCCTTTGAGGCGGATGTAGACGTTGTGGATGTGGCCGCGGTAGATCAGCTTCTCCCGGCTGTGGAACTCATACTCGCCTCCCTCCGGGTTGAGGACAAACCTGCGGGAGTGCATGTACATGAGTGCATGTGCGGGTGAAGGGAAGTGGGTTACTGTGTGGGTAAATGCAGTGAGGGAATGTATGGGTTAAGGCGTTGGTAGACGAATTGGATCAATGTGCGGGTGATTGGTTTTTTCAATAATAATGTAAATATATACAGGTATGGTTATAGTATCAGAGAACAATCAGTATGATGGAGCTTACCTCCGCCAGCCATTGTAGCAGTAAGCAGAATAGGAAGCAAAGAAAATCGGAGCCAGGAGAAAGGGGAAGTACTGGTCCAGCTGTGACGTTGCGTACGTAGACACGCAGGCTATGATGCTGACGAATATGCACACCAGGGAGAGCCACATGCGCGCTGAGCGTGACTCGAGCACAAATATGCCGTGTGAGATCTCATGAAATGGATAGATCGGATTCTCATCCATCTTCCTGGCAAATGTTTGCTCCGGCTTTTCGAGAAAGTTGAAGTCCCAAGCCCCGAAGATACCGACAATCATTGTCTCTTGTTATCAGAACTTCTCCTGACACTGTAATTGGAACAGAGTAGTACCTAATGAACAGTAGTTAATAAGTGTCAAAGCTATATTTTTACACATGCAGGAACACACATTGCATCAAGAGAAGATAATATCAGGAGTTAGAGATTAATATACAACAAGATAGCAGTATAACAAGATGGGAACATCTGTTATTGCCTTATTGCTAATAATATCTATTACCTAAGAATACCTGGTCACTGATTAAAGTAAAACTGAAAAGGTTTGAGAAAATAATAATAATAACACTGGGTTATAAGAATACTTGGTCACTGAATAAAGTCAAACTGAAAAGGTTTGAGAAAATAATAATATATATGAAACACTTATTGGTGAGTGTTTAAAACTATTGGACTTACCATAGGATTGTGTTGTGCTTGGCAGGAACATTTAACAAGTGACACCAAAAACGTGATTGAACTGGCTGTGCATGTTTTGTCATGATGAATGATGAAAAACAATGGATAATTGTTTGTTTTCTATTGTTTTTATCCAAAAGAATTGATTGTTTCTGATTTGTGACATACATGAGATGCATACTAGAACTTGAATATTTTATAATATTCCCATTTTTAGCATCTTCTACGAAAAGAAATTTAACAGTTATTTTAAATAATATTGTATATTGCCACAAATAATTGACAGTGTGGGATGTAATGAGTTAAAAATATTAAAAGATAATCCTATCTGGTTCTAATAATAAACGATCTCTCTTTCTCTCTCTCTCTCTCTCTCTCTCTCTCTCTCTCTCTCTTTTTTTCTTTTTCTTTCTCTTTCTCTTTCTCTTTCTCTCTCTCTCTTTCTGGCTCTCTCTCTGGCTTTCTTGGTCTCTCCTCTTCCCTCCCTCCTTCTCTCTCACCCGCCCACCCTCTCACTACCTCCTCCCTCCTTCCATGTCTTCCTCCACCTTTCTCTGTCCCTCCCTCTCCTCCCCTCTCTCTTTCTGTCTCTCTCATTGTCTCAATCTCTACCTCTATCTCACTGTCACAGTTAATCAATGTTTGCATCACTCCATTATAGATGGGAAAATTTCTCACCTGCGATTTGCGTGGAAGGAGGGCACGAACGCACTGCTAACCTGCGCAGCCGGCAACAGTGGCAGCTGTGTGGAATTCTGGGAGATGAAGGAGCAGGCCAGCCCTGTTCACAAAGTGTTTCAAAGTGCAGGAGGTGGATCGGGGGAATACAAGTCGCTGGTAACCTTCTCTTGCCCGACTCTTTTTCTCTTTTTTTTCTCTTTTTCTCTTTTTCTCTTTTTCTCTTGACGATTTGTTAGTCTCACTCGCGAGCGAATGTTTTCGATGAAATTTTGAGAGCATCACAGCCATGGTTGTTACTAACAATGTTAGAGATTGTTGTCGCATGTTTATTTGTGATTGCTATTTTAAAGATTTGACCTCCCTCTGCTAGTTACGAATGTGGATGCAGAGGATTGATTTCTATGTGACACTATTCCTAGTGAAATCGTACACTATCAAGATTTGAATGCTGGTGCTATAGCTACAAACAAGTGCTATCATGCACGATATTATGCATTATCATGCACAGGTGCTATTATGCACAGCATAATCGTAATCACATGACAGCTTACGAATTATTTGCGTTGCGCAGAAATGGAAGTATGTCGACACGATTCTGCACACGTCCGAGGTGTCGGCTGTGACGTCTTCACGTCTCTCACCTTCAGATGGCGCTCTCATCCCGCACTATAGCGGCATCGTCGCGTACAAGGACAGCAGCATCAAGCTGCTCTACAGGTACATATACGTAGACAACACATGTTCGTACAATACACGATCGACGAATATCGTTCTCGTGCAGGTGACGTGTAGCTCTAGCTAATCAGCGTTGCAGCAGTGCATTCTAAAAATGCTGCTTGGCAACAGAGTGCTGAAAAGTCGGATTGGTTTAGAAAATTTCTTGATCGCGAATGCTTGCGTGTTGATCAATATATAAAGAAGAGCGCTTGCTCTCTTACATTTTACAAATGTTTAGTGATATCAGATAAACGAAAGTGTGCCTCTCTGACTTTGCTCTCCGTTAAGACAAGAAAAAGAAGTCCATAACATAACAAATTCCAAAGTAAAATATATTTGTGTCGCGTAAATGTTAAAAAAGAAAGAAAAAAGAACTGTGTGAACAAAAAGAAGCCAGTAACATAAAAGAAACTCTAAAGTAAACTTGACTAGTGTCCCGTAAATGTTTTTTTCACTGCGTCACACGTTCTGTTCCGTGAATGTTTAAAAAAAAAAGCTATTCGCGGTGACACACTCACTGCAGGAGAGAAAAAAACTACTTTTTGAATGAAAAGAACTAGTGTCCCGTAAATGCTTTTACAAATTTTGCCACACTGCAGGAGCAGCGTGACGCAGGTTGCCGCGGTAACGATGGAGAACATAGTGCGGCTCGCGAGCGACTCCGGCCTCAGCCAGTCGACTATGGCCGGAGAGCTGACCTGCATGCGCCAGTCTACGACCGGTTACATCATGGTTGGCGTAGATATCTACAGTCAGATGTTCGTCTATAGACTGTCGACGAGTCGAGACACGTGTGGGTACATTGTTACCGCTGTTGCTGTTGTTATCGTTGTTGTTATTGTTGTTATTATTATTATTATTATTACAGTAAAACTCGCATAAGTTGTCATCGTCTAACTCGTCAATTCGCATAAGTTGTCATGGCAGTCAAAGTCCCGATTTTCTCTCATAGTAAATCCATTGGAATAGCCCCGCCGAAGTCGTCATTTATAAGCCATCATTATGTACAAGTCGTCGCCCTCAGACAGGTCCCATGTAATACAAACAACGGTAATTTCCCATCTGTAAGTCGTCATCAGAAATGCCGATGGCGCAGTGTACGGTCTAGGGGATGCACGAACTGGCTGTCGCATATCTGCGCCAACGTGTAATCAACAGCGGGTGTTACAGATAGCCAGCGTGTGCCGCGCCTGCCGCTAGTGCGTACGATGTACGTGTGTTATGGCCAGCAGCGGTGTCGATTGATGTAGGGACCCGATTGTTTCATGTCTGCTATGTATGTTGCACGAACTGACGTCGTGTGTGGAGCATGTTTATGACTGCATAGGGGTGACGGGCGCCTGGGAGGGGAGCCCTACATATAAGTCGACAAAATGACGACTTATGTGTATGTCGTCATTTTCGTAAGTCGGCACAAATATGCTGGTCCCAATAGTGTCGACGTATGCGAGTTTTACTGTATTATTATTATTATTTCCAACGTGGATCACGGCATTAGCCAGTGGCTTCTGGGTTAGCCATGTGCCAACTTGGGATATAGGGATTCAATCCAGAATTTTATGTTACTATTATTATTATTATTATTATTGTCAGCGGTATTAGTATCGTCACATGTTGAGTCTTTAGTGAAACATGGAACAGGTTGTGGACATTACTGATGCGAACGACCCAATGTAAATTCCCACAGTATGCCAGGAACAAGGTCCAAGCTTGATACACAAAACACATGCCACTCACTTTTCTTGCAGTGGATGGCCCAGTTTTTACCTTGACGGAACCGACGTTTGTTTCAGATTTCCAAACCGGTACTTTGCTGGCCACAAATCACATTGTGAATCTACTCGAGTACTGCATGCTGAATGGTTACGACTGGTTTGATGTGCTGCTGTGTGTTAGACCAGGTATGTAACTGTGCGTTACTCTACATCATTCTTCACCATGCTTTATCAGTCGGTATCGTTCTATGTTAGCCTATATTTACCTCCACCCAACGGAGTTGGAGGAGGTTATGTTTTCGCTCTCGTGTGTTTGTGTGTTCGTGTGTTAGTGTGTTCGTGTGTCGCGCGATCGATATTAGCGCGTCAGCCAGCCAGCGAGCCAGCCAGCGCAGCGAGCCAGTGAGCGCGTACATGTGAGCGAGCAGCAGCAACCAGCGGCTGCTACGAGCGAGCGAGCAGCAAGCCAGCAAGCCAGCGTGTACATGTCAGTACGCTGGCGTATATCGTGGCTTATTCATTACATGTGTTCGTCAGTCGTATGGCGTATGGCGTATGTCGCTGGCGGAGGTATGCACTCTCTGTGAGTGCACTCTGTCTAGTACCGTATGTTACTACCTGTGCATGTCTCTTTATAACTGTGTGGGTGATTGTTGTATGTTTCAGGGTGCACAAACAACGTGTGTGATTGATGTGTGTTTCAGTGTATACTGACACCGTGGATGATTGGCTTACGTTTCAGGGTACATCGACAGCGTGTGTGATTGGCTGACTGATAGTTTCATGAAGCAGCCTGCCTCCATACAGCAGGTCTACTATAATAAGTACCTGACGATAAAGGCATCTCTCTACAGGTAACATCAGGAGTTAATAATGACAAATAATTTTTGTCATTATTATTTGTATTATTGTTACCTCCGCGCAACGGAGGTCATGTAATCGGTCTCGTGTGTGTGTGTTCGTGTGTGTGTGTAGCGTTGGCGCGATCGATTCAGCAGCAGCTCGCCTTAGGGCGTTCAGTCAGCAGCAGCCAGCAGCGAGCCAGCTGTTATACACATACATGGTACATGCTCGCGGAGGTATGCACTCTCCGTGAGTGCCCTCTGTCTAGTTATTATTGTTATTATCATTTATTATTTGTCATTATTAACTCCTGGTAACATATATACTTCCCATGACTTTGGGTTAACCGTCACAGAAAAACAACGCATCAAGCAGTAGGGTAAAACCTGTATAATTAGTGTGTAATTAGTGTGTAATTAGTGTATAATTAGTGTATAATTAGTGTGTATCCACAATCGCAGGCCCAAGAGTGCAAACGTTTGTATGGTTGCTAAACGCACTCATGAGAGCAGCCACAGCCACACGGACATGCACGCGCGCGCACACACACACACACACACACACACACACACACACACACACACACACACACACACACACATACGCACTCACATGCACACACA